TCCCATCCCACTCCAGGAGTGGGATGGGAATGGGGATTTTGCAGTATCCTTCCCCTGGAGTGGGATGGGAATGGAGATTTTGCAGTATCCTTCCCCTGGAGTGGGATGGGAATGGGGATTTTGCAGTATCCTTCCTCTGGAGTGGGGAGGGAATGGGGATTTTACAGCATCCTTCCCCTGGAGTGGGATGGGAATGGGGATTTTGCAGTATCCTTCCCCTGGAGTGGGATGGGAATGGGGATTTTACAGTATCCTTCCTCTGGAGTGGGGTGGGAATGGGGATTTTGCAGTATCCTTCCCCTGGAGTGGGAAGGGAATGGGGATTTTGCAGTATCCTTCCCCTGCCACTCCCACCAAGCCACGCCCACAGACCCGGTAGTATAAAAAATTGAATTTCACCACTGCCCCGAGGCGTTCCTTGGATGCTCACCCGGTGAGGTTTCGGATCAGGTGGAAGGAGGCATCGTCGAAGGCCGGTTTCCCCATCCTGCTCGGGTTGAGGACGGGCGTATACTCCATGCCCATCACGGTGACCTTGCTCTCCGGGAGGGACATATCCGATGGGGCGGTGCTTACCAAGGAGTCTTGAAGGAAGACGACCGGCAAGGAAGCAATGTCTGGTTCCTAAGAGATGAGAATGTAGGAGCAACAAGGCCAGAACGCATAGAGGTAGTCCTTGGCTTTCGACCGCAACTGAGCCCAGCCATTTCTGTTGTTACGCGAGACATTGGTTCAGTGAGCTTAGCCCCGTTTTACGACCTTTCTTGCCACCGTCATTAAGTGAATCCCGTGCAGCATCCCTGCGGTCATGTGCATAAAATTCAAACGCTCAGCAACGGGCTCATATTTATGACGGTGGCAGAGTCCTGGGGGTCGTGTGTCCCCTTTTGCGACCTTCCGACGAGGAAAATCAACGGGGAAGCCGGAATTCAGTTTAACCGTGCGACTAATTTAACAACGGCACCGATTCACTTAACAATGGTATAAAATGGAGCAAAAGTCACTTAACTAATGTTTTTTTCACTTAGCTACATAAATGAGTCGATAAATTTTGGACTCATTTGTGGTCTTAAGTGGAGAATGATCTGTAGATGATTTTTTTTCGTTCTTTTTTCAGCCCATAAGCTGTTCTGCCTTGGCCATGCCTATGATCTGCAGTATGGCCACCCCACGTCCCCCCCAGATACTCCCTCAAAGTCGGCTCTTGGTCTGAAAAAAACCCTCTGAAGTGAACTCAAAGATTCCTTTATTAAGAGCGCCAGCAGCCCTGGCAAAAATTCTCTCTCTCTCCGTAGCTTAACAAGTCCACCCGGCAGGGAGATGAATAGTTATCTGCCACATCTATTCATCTCCGCCCCCTGCCTTTTATCCCCAGAGTTAGAGTGGGGCTTCGCTAGCAGCAGTGGCTCTTCCGTCCCAAGGACCGGCCCGTAGATTTCCACTGCTCTCCTCTTCTCTCTGCCACATCTATTCATCTCTGCCCCCTGCCTTTTACCCCCAGAGTTAGGGTGGGGCTTCAGTAGCAGCAGTGGCTTTTCCATCCCAAGAACCGGCCCATAGATTTCCATTGCTCTCCTCTCCTCTGCCACATCTATTCTTCTCCGACCCCTGCCTTTTACCGCCAGAGCTAGGGTGGGGCTTTGCTAGCAGCAGGGGCTCTTCCGTCCCAAGGACCGGCCCATAGATTTCCACTGCTCTCCTCTCCTCTGCCTTCTTGCGCATCCACGCGTCAGGCACTGGACCCACTTATTCCTCCTCTTCCTCATCCGCCACCTCCAGACCTGGGGGCTGTTGACTCTCCATTTGAGGACTGACGGATGTCCTAGGCTCCGCCTCTGTCTCTCTGCCAACTCCATTCCCTCTCCCCACTTGGTGCTCTCTGGTTGCCTTGATGCTGACCCTGACTCCCATACCTCCTCCTCCTCTGATTTAGCTGCTGGAGGGGCAGGCCACCACACACTGCGAGAACCAGAATAACCAGGAGAACACATCTCATCAGAAATATTATTACCGTGATCCGGAGTTGACAGTTGAGATATTTGCATCTCTTCTTCAGTTCTTCCATGACGAACTTGGTAAACTCGTAAAGTCTTTCTGGAGTCATGCTCTGAGGGAAGGAAGAGAAGAAAAAAATGAAATAAAAAATAAAGCACCGCTAAGCATAGGAGATTTAAAATGCAGGTGGTCCTCAGCTTACAACTATTCATTTAGTGACCATCCAAAGTTACAATGGCACTGTAAAAAAAAAAAGGGACTTGTGGCCAGTTTTCGCACTTACCACACACATTGTGGCATCCCTATGGTCGCGAGATCAAAATTCAGCCTGCTTGGCTAACTGGCTCGTATTTACGACGGTCGTAGTATCCCGGGGTCATGTGACGAACAAGGTCAATGGGGAATCCAGACCCGCTTAATGACCGTGTGACTAATTTGAAAACCGCACGTTCAAAACTGAACAATTTGTCGCAACAAAGGTCGTAAAATGGTGCAGAGCTCACTTAAAAAACGAGTTTCACTTAGCAATGGAAATTTCGGGCTCGGCTGCGGTTGTTAAGTCGAGGAGTACCCGCGCTCGTCTTGGAGTCAAACCCTCTTAGAACCTACTTCTTTGTCCACATTAGGGTGGGCGCAGGCATCGATCCTCTGGACGAGCTTCTCCAAGTAGTTATTCAACGTTTGGGTCTGCCAATTGGATTTCGCCACCTGGAAAGTGAAGACAGCGAGGAGGTTGGGGAGGAAGATGGGCCAGTCCTGGAATCTGAGGAAGGCTCTGATGAGGGCTCTGTGTCGGAGGCAGAGAGGGGGCCAGGGCCATATGCCAGTTATCAGCTGCCTTCGGAGTCAGACATCAGTGAGGCAGAAGAACAGCTGACCCTGTTCCTAGGATACGCATGCGCAGAGTGGCCAGACGAAGGGAACAGCTAAAGAACAAGGGTCGACTTGGGAGTAAAGCCACAAGTGGACAATGAATGGCCCCTCTCAGAGGAAATAAAAGAGGAGCGAAAGGAGAGTGGAGTTTGCAGGAGACAATTAGTTCACTCAGTTGGTTCTTGACTCTCCAAGACTCCTTGCCAACTTTTGCAAAGATCAACCTGGCAGCTCTCCAAGACAGATAAGGTCTGTGACTGTAAATCTGCCCTCAAAAGAATTTGCTGGATGTGAATGAGTAAAATTCACAGCAAATTAATAAAAGGCTTTTTTGTCGGGACAAGTAGTTTGCCTCATGCTCTTGGGAAACCTTGGTCAGAACAGAACCAGTCATGAATAGTTCTGCAATAGCAATAGCAGTAGACTTATATACCGCTTCATAGGGCTTTCAGCCCTCTCTAAGCG